TGCTGCATTTTCCGAAGCTATGAGGAGCTTTTGAATTTTAAATGCATATTGGCTATTTAATTTTGGCTTATGAATTGCCTTTTTAATTATTAGCCTGCCCCCCCAAATTATTAGGCTGCCTTATGGTTTAAAATAAAATGGGCTTTTTCTTTACTATGGATATTGATCTTCAGTTTTTATACATGCTAATATATTTTCTTTAATATTTGGCTTGTTGTAACATTAGCTATTGTTTCATCACAGACATTTTCAAATGTCATGGAATTAAAACTTCAGTTTTCTTCTTAGCTTCTTGGCTTTCTGTTTTGCTTAGGCAAATCTTCCTTACCTCAAGGTTAAAATGATATTCTTTCTGTTTTTAATATTATAATATTTTTTTCATTGGATTCCAGAAAAAAATTTATTTTTCAGTATGGGGTAGTATTGAATTTGAATTATATTTTTCTACTTAGTTATTTCATTTGACTAGAATCATTTATTATGTATTTTTAAACCACATTTGGAATAAAATTTATTCCATCTTTTGATATTACAAAAATCTGAAGTTCCAGAGAGATATGATTTTCTTGGATCATTGGTTCTCAGCTAGAAGCCTTCACACACACACAGGCACACTTGGCAATGTCTGGAGAAAGTTCTGAGTGTCCTTACTAGGGCAGTGCTGGTGGCATCTAGTGGCAAAGGTTAGCAGTGCTTCTAAAGATCCTAACATACACAGAGCAATATCCCACCATAAAGAAGCACTGCTTCTGGCTGGCCCAAAGGTCAGTAATGATGAGGCTGAGAAATATTGGGATCATCACAGCGTATGAATCTAGATCCACTCCACTATATTTATATTTTTTCCATGTATTTAAAATTACCAGATTTTGGTATCTGTTGATAAATCTTCCAAAAATTGTTTGCATTTGAACTTGCCATCAGGGGTCAGCAGATGTTTACTTTCCATATGAGAAACAACGTGACTTTTTCTCACTGTCCATCTCAAGGGCAATATTCATTCGTGTCTATGAGATGATTCTCAACTCTCCATGACAATGAAATGTTCTGCTCTAGGACAGACAGTAATCTTCTCCTTGACGATACATGTACTGATTATGCATTCTTCTCAGAGTATTGGTTTTCATTAGGTGTGTAGGGAAGAACCCCAAAGTTTTCAAATCTGACTTTACCTCTCATAGTTCAAAAAATCAGATTCACAGTCAGAATCACCTAATTGATGATAATGATTTCAGGTCACACCCAAAAGCTTCTAAGCAGAGTCTCTAGGTTTGGGGCCAAATAGCTTATATTTAATGAAGTGGATCAAGTGATTCTGGAAATGAGCTGGGGTTGGGGGCCACTCCTGTGACATACTGATAGGCAGACTGAAAGCAGGGAGGTTCCCATCTCTCTGAGCAGTGAGGCAAATTCTCTTAGCTTAGCTCTATTTCCAGACAGGAATTTAGTCAATAAAATGAAATAAGAATTTTGGGGGAAGGGGTTAAGAATTTCACTGCATTCACTAGCATTAAAAACATAGTTAAATGATGATGCACAGTACCTATGGTCTATGTGAGGTTTTTACATTTGTAAAGCAAAACTACAAGGGTTTAAAGGACACATAAGGGTCACTGATTTCTGTGACGGCTAATGATGGTTTATGTTGGTCCGGTTTTCTTTCATCACGACGTGGATTTAAACATTCATTAAGTGTCTATAAAACAAGCTTGCCCTTAATAAATACAGTATACCAAAGCCTTAAAGAATAAGATGTTACAGATTTTATCTCCAGGATGCTAAGTGGAAGAGTCTGTCTGTTCTCCAATGCCTCCCTCATGAAGGCATTTTACCTCACATGTGCTCGTACATGGGCATATTATATCTCAAACTGCAAAATTTATTAACTTCTGCTACAACCTCAGAATAAAACTTCTTCTGTATCTTATATAATTGAAAAGAATTAGGGTTGTTTTTAATTTCTGTTTAAAAAGTTATGATTTCAACTACCATCTGGGCAAATTTTATCATATTATCTAACCAGACAAAATGGAACATTAAAATGTAAGCCTAGATGATTATCATCACAGTATTATCATTTATATTTTATATGACAAATTTACACTAGTCATGTACTACTGGATTTATTTGATATGTGTTGGAACCTGTGTAATGTTTTTTGTTTCTAAAAATGTCTTGAAATTACTAGGGAATGGTTTCTATAATCCCGCTCATGTTATATTTAGTTCCTTTTAAAATTAGAGTATATCTACTTATATGATGATCCTTTGCAATTTTGCTGCACACAATAGAGAAATGGTTGAGGATTATTTAGTCTTGCAGTACTTGGGGGTGAGTCAATCTTGGGTGACTTGAAAAATTTAGGATTGTTACTCAGTGATCTGCATGAAACACCACAAAGCTCTATGAAGGGGACTAAGAGATGTGAGGGTCTCCAGAGATACTAAAGTGCTGACATAACTTCCCTGGCTGGTGCAGGGCAGAGTGCGTGGTGGTTAACTGTTTTCATTCTGTCCTGATATTGGGAGTGGGTGGCATTACTGGGGACTGACCCAAGGATCTTTGCTTTGAGTTACAGCCTCTTCCCATTTAATTTTATTTTGAGATAGTATCTCACTCAATTGCCCAGGCTGTGCTTGAATTTTGGGTCTTCTTGCCTCCTCAAAGTGCTGGAATTATAGGAGTGCACAACTGCACTCAGCTGATCTTGCCCTGGTTTTAAAAATGATCGTTTTATTACACTGTACAACTAACATGCTAGATCTGGCAAAGGTGTGGCAGAGCAGCTCCATTACTTTACAATGAGAAAGCTTAGGCCCAGGAGAGGGACACAGTTTGTTCCAGTGGTTAAGATCGGCGTCGGCTTGGTGGAGGCAGGGTGAGCAAGGGATGGGAGTGAATGAGAAGGGAAAGAATGCAGAGGAAGTGAGAGTAAAACGTCACTTTCTATGACCTCAACAGGATTCGGGGACTCCCTAGTGACATCCACTCTCCCGCAGGGAAGGATTGATGATAAAGTGTCTGTTTTATTAGTTATATTACCACTCTAAGAGAGTGGGAAAAGGTGGAAAAATTGGGGAATATTAGGTCTCTTGAATTTCTCCAGGGCCATTAAAGGGATAAGCATGAGATAGGTGTGTGTTTGATTCTGGAATCTGGAAAGACCAATTGAAATGTAAAGCTACTGGTTCACCTGGGGGGAGACCCACCTAGGAGAGACAAGACAGGAGATGCTGGGCTTTCATGTGCGGGGCTGATCCTATGCAGCAGACTCGGTTCAAATCTCGGTTCCGCCCTTACTGACTGTGCGCCCTTGGATAATTTTCATATTATTAACATGATGATGTTAATAATAGTAATCCTCTTTCTTATAGCACTGTCCTAAACCAAGACGAAGTATGTATCTGAAGTGCAAAGCGTGGTGCCTGGCACAGAGAAGCTAGTAAATATGTTGTTCCTTCTTACTTATTTTTAGAATAATGATCACTTTGTGGGTTTGAGACTGAAAAACTTGAAAATAAAGCTGATTACTTGGAAATCTATCTCATTTTTCATTGGAAATTTAAGAGGTTGGAGCAGATGATTCCTGCAATAGGCCATGCTTAGAGAAGTTACAGTTCGCAGAGCGGGCTCGGCCTCCAAGGCTGCTGTGGTCTTGGCTATGGGAACACTTAGCAAGTGAGGAATGCACAGATCCTCCTCAGTCTGTGCGGGCAGAGCAGGCCACACGTATTGTATTGATTATCTGTTAAATCTCCCAATTTATTGCTAACTGTTCATATTCAAAATTAGACAAGGATTTTGCAAAGGTCTACATTTTTGCCATAACCAGGATTCTCCAGCCATTGAGTCTCTCTGAAATCTGAAAACTACTCTGACACCAGATGTTTAAAAAAATTCATCCGAATACTTGTAGAAAAACATTCTCTCTCTCTCTCTCTCTCTCTCTCTCTCTCTCTCTCTCTCTCTCTCTCCTTCCCTCCCTCCCTCCCTCTCTCTGTCTCTCTCTTTGGCCTTTTAAGAAGTTACTCTATAGTCAATGTGGTGGAAATACTCAGAAAGCCGAAACAGGAAGATTGAGTTTGAGGCCAGCCTGGGTTACATAGTGAGTTCAAAGCTAGCCTGAAATTCAAAGCTAACCAACCATGGTTGGCTGGTCCCTCCACCTACGCGGAAAGACTCTGTCTCAAACAATAATAATAATAAAAAGAAGTTGTTCCATTTCCAGAGCATCTCCTTTTTTCCTTTTTCTAGTGCATAGTCAATTCAAGAGGAAGCAAAGCACATTTCCTTGCTTACTCCACAAAAATGAAATGAAAAGATTTTTGTCTCACCTCCAAAAGATTACTACTTATTTTTCTCTTTCTTATATACTCAAATTTGCAGTTTGTTCCTGTTTAAAATACTCATTTTTTCTGTGTAAAGTTTTAGAACTTTATCATAGCAATTTTTGCAATATATATAAAAATTGAAATTTTCTTACTTTATTTTCAGAAGCAATACATAAGGAACAAAAATATTTAAAAGAAAAAATGAAAATTTAAACATTAACATAAATATCCTTGTGAGCAAAATGGTTACATAAATATTACTTCGTCCTTACAATTCTATTCAGTCACTGTAAGATTATTGTGGTGCTGTATCATAAGTAATGTAGAATTGTTCATCATACGTTTTATGAAGACTAATAAATGTTAGCTATTGAATAGTTTTGAAGTTATAAACAAATATGAATAGAAATGGAATCAGAAAAAATCTATCCAATATTAACCAAGAGGGATTCCCTGAGATTAAAGATGCTTGTTTACTCATTTATTTATTTATTTGTGTGTGTTTGTGTTAGCATATATGTTCTAAAATATTTATAATAGATTATTCTCAGTTAACTAAAAGCATAAAAAATAATTTTTTCTCAATTTGAGAAAATATTACCAGACTTATTTTACCTTAAGACAGTGAAGGTACAGTTCAGGACAGGAAAAGCCATGGATATGACCTACCTCAGTGCAGGTCGGTTTCCTGGAGGAGGGCAGATTCGGGAATGGTGTGTCCTCAGGTTGCATACAGCAGTCTAAAGGAAGGCCAAGCTAGGAGAGGAACCAGGACACTGAGGGTGCAGAGCTTCCCTTTAATAAGCCATCACCTTAGCAACCAGCTTGATTGCCTCAAGCTAAAATTCTTCTGGAGTTACTTTAATCTGTGGATACCATTTTCCCTGTTTGCCCAGTGGAATTCATTGAGTAGTGTTTTCCCATGTGTAGTGTACTCATCAGTAAGTCTATGAAAGATTTTAGCTGACACTTAGGTGTGCTGCTCAGTTTTCCATTATTATTACAAAATACCTGAGTTAATCAATTGAAAAAGAAAGGTTTATTATGGTTTACAGCCCATGGTTGGTTGGTCCCTTTGAAGGTGCACATGGCAGAGGAGGTTCTCACCTCACTGTAGCCAGGGAGCAAAGAGACAGAAAGGGTCTGGGGTTCTAATATCCCCTTGAAGGGCATAGCCCCCTGTGACCTAATTTCCTCCCTCTAAGCTGTACCTCTTAAGTATTCTGCCACTTCCCACTGGGGTCACAGGCTAGCAACCAAGACTTTAACTCATGGGCCTCTGGGAAAGGTTTAAGATTTGAACTACAGCAGTGTACATGGTATTATACAGCACTGAATGAAGCACATGGTGTGAGATTTAGTCTCTGTGCATATTAGTTTCCCACTGTTGCTTAATGAATTACCACTAATTCTTGCATTGTGAAGGGTGTAATTCTAAGATCAGTGTGTCAGTAGGGCTGTATTTCTTCTGCAAATTTCAGCAGAAAATGCTTTTTAAAATTTTTTGTCTTTTCCAGAGTCTGGAAACTACTTGCATTCCTGGGTCATTCCAATCTTGGTTCCACTGTGACATACCTTTTTTGACTTTGAGTTTTCTGTCTCCACCTGATAAGGCACCTGTGCTTACACCAAGCCCACTCAAATGTTATACAATAAACTCACCCCCTCAAGATTCCTAACCAGGAAGATTCCTTTCATTGATAATAATAGTAACAATAATAATAATAGTAATAAGAAATAATCTACCATAAATAATATGTAGTTATATGTATAATTAGTTATTTTTATTTGTAGATAGAAAGATACATAAATATAGACAAAGTACACAGTATCTTAGAAAATAAATTTAAAATAGTGCAAAGAGATAAATTCCATTTAAAAGCTCCATTGCAAAACCTGAATAATAAGTGCCAACACTAATTATATTATTTTCCCTAATCCTGTGTAGTTTTGTAGGTCTGGAATTTTTGGAATGAAAGTATAATAGTATAGAGGATAAAAAGTGGTGCTCACAGACATAGTATTGCTGTAACTAAATGCCACAAACTAGGTAATGTAAAGAACGGAGGCTTGTATGTCTCATGGTTCTGTGGGCTGGAAAGTTCAACAACATGGCACTGGGTCTACTCAGTTTCTGGTGAGAGCTGCCTTTATGAGCACAGCTTGTAGAGAGTATTACGTGGCAAGAGCGAGAAAGCATGCCTGAGGACCTTTATAACCGAGCTGTTCCCTGCAAAACCTAACCTAAATGAACTGACCCACCCAGAAGGCAGAGAGCCCTTATAACCCAATAACCTCCTAAAGGCCCCACCTCCACATACTGTTAGCATCTGAATGTGGGGACTAAGTTGCTAGCACACAAAATCTGTGGACACATTCAAGGCACTGCAATGTTACTTTAAAATAAAAAGTTAAGAGAGAGGAAAGATACAGCTCCTGTTCTCAAGTTACTTAAAGTTCATTAGAAAAAATAGACATTCACAAAAGGTAGTATTGGAGCACAATAAAAAGTGACTTAGAAGAGGAAGCAGAAGTGTGAGGTTTAAGCAAAACTTTCGCAATATGGTGGATGTTATTCACCGCGTTTCTGAGGTGTGGATAACCTTTCTGTGTGAGAAGAAAGGCTGGAAGATCAGACTGGATAACACCCCACTGGGAAACACCTACCTTGCTCTTTGGTTACTGAGTTTCAGAAAGGCCATGATTTGAGCCCGGTTTTACCTCTCCAAAACAGATTATTCTGTTGGTAGGAAGCTCACCAGTTCCAAAGCGTCAGAATTTTCACTTCACATGCATCTGCACTGAAATGAACTATTACCTACCTCATTCTACAAATTATAGCAAAGGTCATTTAGGCTTGAGAAACTACAGTCACCTGATAGGGCTGTGACACAGTTATGAGCATAAGTTTCTTGCTTTGCAGGATTATAAGGACAAGAAAAAATATGGAGAAATATCACTGAGTTTTTCACAAATTAATATTATTTATCTGTAGCCAATCTGAGCTGTTCCTTATTGAGGAAAGTTTGCTAGATTCTGTGCCTCTATGGAAGTGATCTTGATATTTTTGACAAAATACATACGCTATAATTGACCTCACTAATAATTCTCTATAATCTTAATTTGATGTTTAGAGTTTGTAAAGAAACTCTTACCAGTGTCTCTTACATTAATTTTTCAATTAATTTGGTTCAGGTACTACAAATATGACTCTTTTGTTTCATTGTCATTTCTGTATCATTGCAACTTGTACACATTTAAATATCTATGTGATATAGGATCTTTTAGAGTGTCATGCTTCCTACATTAAAATAATGACTCATTTGTGTGATCTTAGATAAATTTGACATACTCTATATTGCAGATTTCTTACTTGTAAAATAAAGATGACCATATATCTCATACAGTCATAAGTATCAGATCAGATATTTGATCCATAAGTCTTAATAAAGAAAAATTATTACTCACATTTGTGATAGTTGATATATTTGCTAGCATGTGAAGTTCTACCTTACGATGAAAGTAATGTTGGTAACAGTGAGACATTCTTTTCCCCTGTACTTAATCCATTAAAGAAAAATTTGAGATTATTAAAATACATATTTAAATATGATCTACATAACAGAAAAATGCACATGTTACACATGGCTAGCAGAATAAATTTTTACAAAATGAAAATACTTGCATAGCAGTAACGATCTGATTGTAGGGAATTTTCTAGACTCTAGGGGGAGTGTTTCCTCCAAATTCTGTTTAGAGGAGAACCAGAGATCACCACTTTGAAGACTCTAGAACTAGAAATATGTGCCTACATAAAAACTATTCAGTGAGATATGTATCCTTTTGTGTCTATTTTATTTTACTGAATAGTGTTCTTGCAAGATTTATCCCAGTTTTTTAAATAATTCATCTTGTTTTCTGTGTTATTGTAAGACTATGCTATCTTTTATTTATTCATTCTTCTGTTGTTTTACCTTTAAGTTTCCAGTTTTGGATAACTGTGAATATAGATGTTTTGTATGCTTTGGTACAAATTTCTGGTGAACATTCATCTGTATTTCTGTTGCCTATAAACTTAGAAATGGAACTTGCAGTCTTGCAACGTGGATCTATCTGTTGGACGTTAGTAGATACAGTACTGCTGAAGATAAATCCAAAGTGTTTGCATCCATTTACACTTGTTGCTCTTTACAATTTTAGAAATTCTGATGGGTATATCTTGATATCACCTTATAGTCTAAATTTGCGTGCTCCAAATTATTAATAATGTTTGGCAATTTGTGCATCAATATATCCTCCCTTTTAAGTACCCGTACAATTATCTTTCATTTTCTATTGTTACTTTATGTTTTAAAAATCCATTTAAAGAGTTCGATAGGTAGAGGGAGCGGAGAGCGAATCCCAGAAAGCCCAGAGCAGCGCCGCCGCCGCCTCCGGCCTAGTTACCAGCACAAGCTGGGAGGAGCTGCAGCTGCCGCAGCCGCCCCGCCCCGCCCCGCCCCTCCCACTCCCCCTCTCCCTGCCCCCACCCTCTCCCCCTCCCCGCCCCCTCCCTCCCCCTCTCTCCGCCCCCTCCCTCTCCCTCTCCCCGCCCCCCTCCCCTCCCCCTCCCCGCCCCCGTCCGCAGCGCTGCTGACACTAGCCCGGCACCACCAGCGGCGGCGCAGGGAGCCGCGGCCCAGGCGGCCTTACATCGGCGGCGCCTCCCGGCGGGGACAAGAAGCTCATCGCAAGGAAGGTTTTGGGAACAGTAAAATGGTTCAGTGTAAGAAACGGATGTGGTTTCATCAACAGGAATGACGCCGAGGAAGATGTATTTATACCCCAGACCGCCACAACGAAGCCTACCCCCAGGAAGTGCCTTGGCCGGGAAGGAGGTGGAGCCTGGAGTCCAGGTTGTCGGAGGGGAGCAGGGTGCGGAGGCCGCACGCGTTGCAGGCCCTGGTGGAGCTCCAGGCCGAGGCGGTAAACAGGCAGCAGGCCGTGACCATTGCAGACGCCATCCGCGCCGTAGGGGCCCTCCGCGCACTCCAGCAGGATTAGCAGAACAGTGGGAGTGGGGGAAAGCCTGCGCAGGCCAAGGCTCCCCCCTCACTACACCCGAGACCCTGTGGGCGTCGACCACAGTATCCCCACCCTCCTGTGCAAGGGCAAGTGATGGAGGGTGCTGACAACCGTGTGCAGGGGAACAGGGTACATATGTATCCAGGCTGTAGGCCACGATTCCGCAGGGCCCCTCCTCGCCAAAGACAGCCTAGAGAGGACGGCAATACGGAAGACAAGGAAAACCAAGGAGATGACACCCAAGGGCAGCAGACACCTCAACGTTGGTACCCTCGCAACTTCACTTACCGACGCAGATCCCCAGAAAACCCTAAACCACAAGATAGCAAAGAGACAAAAGCAGCGGATCCACCAGCTGAGAATTCCTGGCTCCCGAAGCAGAGCAGGGTGGGACTGGGTAAATGCCGGCTTAACATCTCTACCGTCATCCAGTTTAGTCATCCAGCGAGAAGAAATGAATAGGAAATTCCAGCAATAAGAAATGAACAAAAGGTTGGAATTGAAGAAAGACCTTAAGTGCTTGCTTTTTGCCTGTTGACCAGATAACTAAAACTATCTGCTATCTATGCAGTATGCGGTTTTTATTATTTTTACCTAAAGATGTCTCTTTTTGGTAATGACAGACGTGTTTTTAAAAAGTGCCTGGTTTTTCTCAATACAACTTTAAAAGTTTTTAAATTGTTTCATATCTGGTCAAGTTGAGATTTTTACAAACTTCATTTTTAATTTGTAATAGAAGTTTACAACTTGATTTTTTCAAAAAAAGTCAACAAACCGCAAGCAACTGTTAATAAAAGTCTTAAATAATAAAAATCAATTTAAATGAATTAGTTATATAATACAAAAGCTTTCTGGATTTATGTTCTATGGCTTACATAATTTTACTGTCTTAACTGCTCTTTGATGACCGAAAGTTCTTCATTTTAATATAGTTCAACCCCAATATAGTGACCCATTCAAGATATTTTTCTTATTCTTTGCTCCAAAATAATTTCCTATTATTTTTCTCGAAGTACCATTTTATTACTCAAATTTAGACTTACAAGTTTGATTTTTGTGTATGGTATGAGGTAGAGGAAAGCATACAACTTTTTAAAATATGGGTATCATTCAATGCAAAAAAGCACTCTTCCTTCAATACTATACGGTAGTGTATACTTAAATTTTAATTGTTCACTGCTATTACTATGTACTTCTTAAGTAGATATGATTTATGAAAAGGTTCAGGTTAAAAAGACTTTTTCTTCAATTATTAAGTAGTTATATTTTCAGGTAGTCTGAAATCAGAATTACCTTGTAATATAGCAGACATATATAAATTGTTTTTTCTTAGTGCAAATTGTGTCACTATTTGCAGTAATGTCCTAAAAGGATACCTACAATTATAAGCAAACAATGCAAATGCATAACTTACTACAAAAATGTATGAGTTTCATGGTCACCTAATTTAATATTTGAATTATTTTCTTCACTGGTTGAAACAATTATGTCATTACTATACAAAAATTTAAAAATATGAAATACATTACTCATCATGTCATTACCATGACAAAATTTCACTTTTATATTGCTTCAGTTTCATCATAAATACTTTATCAAATTGTTTCAATATATGTAAATAGGTAAAATCATAATTCTACTATTTGTGTTTTCTTCTCATCACAAAATATATTGTTATGGGAATTTTTCTGTATTCATGGTTTTCGTGATGATCAATGCATAGTATTAAAGAGATGAAGGTTAGGGTGTTTGTTTGTTTGAGACAGGGTCTTGCTATGCAGTTCAGTCTGGTCTTGAACTCACTTCTAGTCCAGGCTGGCCTCAAACTACCAGTGATCCTCCTGCCTCAGTTTTCCAGTTGCTGAAATTATAGGCATGTGCCACCGTGCCAGGTTTGAATGCTACTTGTGAGGGAAGAATGGCTCTTGGAGCCTTTTTCCCTTCCAATTCATCTTGTAGACCAGGCTTGGTGGTGCACACCTGTAATCCCAGCATTCATGAGGCTGAAACTGGAAGATCATTGTGAGTTTGAGGTTAACCTGGGCTGCAGAGTGAGTCCAGACCAGCTTGAACTACATAGTAAGATCCTGTCTCAAAACAACAAGAACAACCCATTCATTTTCTAAGCAGTAGTAGTCTTTTATTTATGGTTAGAGCCATCTTTGCATGGGGATACCTACAAGTCTTTGTAAATAATGAGATAAGTAAAAAACAAACAAATTGTTACTCTTTGACCCCCCTTCCCACTTGGTCATTTTTTACTGCTATTAGTCGAAACAATGTAAACATGTAGAGGTTTAAATATGCTGGTGTTATGGTATGTGTTCAGATGTCCCTCCAAAACCTCATGCTGTCATAAAAACTGTAAGCTAAATAAACTTTTCTTTCCCTTATTTTGGGTGTTAGGTATTTTGTCTCAGCAATGAGAGAGAAGTAACCAAGACAACTGGTGTGACTTAGCTGAATTACCCTGCTCTTGGAATCTGTCATATGAAAAATATAATACTAACTGCTGATGGTTCTAGAACGAAAAGAATTATGGAACAGTCTTGGACCTAACCCGCAGCTTTGAGCCAAGCCCAGGTGATCTCACTCTGAAGTATGTGAGTCAGTTTGTCACATGGCTGTTTGTCACACAGCATTGTTGTAATATTCTCCTGTATTTCAGTAAAATACATTCACTAATGGTCAGTGTCTATTAAGTGTTCCATGATATTAGCAGGCTTCTTCCACTTGACTCATACACTTACTAAGAGTTCTCAAAACTATTTATGACAGTGTTATTTATTGTAACAGTTAAATTATTACATTAGGATTGGGAATACAGCTCAGTGGTACAGTGCCCACCTGGAAAGTATGAGGTCATGAGTTTGATTACTGGTACTAAAATAAATAAGCCAATAAATTTTTACATTAATTTTGGATAATTTGGTGAATTAAAGAACATATTACTGTATAAAAAATTCTTCATATTCTTTATTTTCAATTTTTTAATTGAGACTGGATCTCACCAAATTGCATAGACTGGACTCAGACTTATATTCCACTTGCCTGGGTCTCCCAGAGTGCTGGGATTACAGTTACACATCTGTTCAGTTTATACTCTTCGAAAACCTCAGTGAAGGCATTAAAAATAGTGATCAAGTTAGATAGATTTCCTAATAAATAAAAATTATAAAAATTAGAGTGATTTGGGTTTAAATTGATTTCCATGTGTTATTAGTTCCCATTCCATTTTAAAGACAAACTAAAAATTAAGAATGAAAAATTATGGGTTATTTATAGAGAAGTGAACATATGGCACTCATTATCAGAAGACCTTGGTTCTATATGCAAATATTTATGTGCTAATTTATATTGACCTGGTTAAACCAAAGGTACATATGTGTATGCTTTTATGATTCCCCAGGGTTCATTAATGATTTTTTCATTAATTACATCTTCATAGAAGGTAAAGGACTCTTCCGAGTTCACACCATGCAAGAACATAGGAACTGGCAGTAGAATTTCAGGTTCCCGCTGCAGCGTAACAGCACTGCACAGAGTCTTAGAATCAGTCCTTGCACTTCCTTCACTGGTTCTAAATCAGGCTTTCTGGAAGCCACTTTAAATGTTTCTTGAGTGCAAATACAGTAGCATAAATTCTACTTTCACAATGAAGATATGGATCAGACAGATCAGACAATTTCCCTTTAGAGCATAGAATAAAGGAAATCATTCTTCATATGCTATGATTTATTTTCTGTTGGTAATCTCTAATATTCTATTATCCAACAGCAGTATTAATTTAACTTCATTTCAAAATTAGGAGCCTAGAACAAGTAAGTGAATCATTTTAGTGATTAGTAATTCATCTTATCCATAGGAATACATCAATCTCCTGGAAAACTTAAATTTTATTATTTTCCAATTCTACTGTTTTGTCTCAGGCAAGTTGATGTGGGTCAAGGTTACTTCATGGCTTGTTTATAGATGACTCATTTAATGATTATTGGCTTAGCTGTGACTCCAGGTATGCCACAAGGTCACAGCACACACAACATTCTTCAAATGGTCTCCTTGGCAAAGAGCTTCTCTCTAGGCCAACATTCCTATGTTAACAATTGCAAAATGAGATTGGAAGAGAGCAGGTATTATTTGATCTTACATACACACACACACACACACACACACACATATGCATAATCACTCATATATATATCAAAGAGAGAAAAAAATCCTGCTTTAACTGTTCTCTTAATTGTACATTTAACAGAGAGGTAATTACTAGATATTGGATTAAAACTGGCCCCATCCCTGACTGAGGGGATAAAATCTTCAGGTTTCAGACACAGGCATTTCACAGAGAAACAGAGTCCAAATAATCTCTAGTTGAGATGCTGAAATAAAGTGTCTTAGCAAATACAATAAGAGTGCTGGAGTCAATCTCAGTTTTCATTAGTATTTTCCCTAAAGCCTCTTGTGGACTTGAAAAGAAATTTTAACTATAGAGCAGATGTTCTACATTTACAGATAATCCTTCATTAAAGCTATGATCTTACGGTACAAACGTTGAGGAGCATCGAGGCCCCAGACAAAATCAAAATGGTTCCAATCTGGAAACATATGGAAGTAATGGAGATTCCCAATTTGAGGAAGTATCCTGTCCACATCCCGGGGTGTTACAAGGATGTCTTGTCCACCAGCCCAAATAGCAGTGGGCACTGTCATAGCAGTCAGGTCGTATACCGGAGGCTGACTCTGTATGCGAGAGAGAGAAAGAGAGACAGAAAGGGCGCTCGTGAGAGGAAGCTCCTCATGGCAACACGGAATTCAAATAAATCGAAGGGCTGTAAAATGGATATCTACCATGACTGCAAGGCTGGGCACCAAGGGAGATAAGAAGAAAATGTGAAATGGTCCCTACCTTTAAGGAGCCTACAAAGTAGGAAAAAATGCAAGATGGCTACACAAACATTTATACACAAAGTAGTGCATGTAGAAGGCCATAAAACCATCTCAAAATGCAATGGGATTGAAGACAGGAGAAATTACTTTCCGCTGGAAGCTCCATACAAAGAAAAGTCATTTGAAATGACTTGGAGGTGGTTGAATTGTGACAGGCAGAAATGGGGTAAGCAGGGCTTCCCAGGTGACAGGAAGAGTGTGCAGGCCGTAATCAGGAATGGAACCCTTCTTAATGTACCCAGAGAGCAAAATTTATAAGGGATACTGTGGGCTATAAGGATAGAGGCAGGCTTTCCAGGTTGGAGAGCAGATTCAAGGAACGTGGACGTCTTCCAGAAAGACACGGCAGAGTCATTTCTCAGATGACTGTACAAGCATCAGTTAGTGAAGTGACGTGATAAAGGGGCAGGCAGAAAGTATGACCAAAAACTGTGACACTCAGTCCAGTTGGCCCGTATTATAACTATGGGGATGGCTGAATTCTCCAAGAAGACGGAGAGTGCACATTGAGACGGTGCCGGGGACTTAAAAAGAAAGTTATTGAGATTAGTTCCTCTAGAAAAATGTAATAGAATTTACTTCAAATGAGCTAAAATCACAAACACAGTAGAACTGACCTAGAGCAAGGTAAGACCAGAAAAATGATGAAAGTTCTAAGGACATTGATACACTCACAGACTTTTAAGCCTGCTTGAATTGCCACTTTTTAAACTGTATAATCTTGAAGGTATGTATGTCTCATTCCATTGTCTTGTAAATGATATAAAAATATAATATGTGTGTTAAGATTAATGGAAGAAAATAGAGGTATTGTATATAAAGTCCAAAGTGAGACTCTTTTACTCCTTTGTGTTTATTTGCTTCCCTGCCTTTTTCTTCCCTTTCATGAAGTTAATTTTTGTTTATTTTTTATGGAACTTTTTAAGCATTTGTCAAAATATGCATTTCTAAGAGTGAGGATCAACTTTGGAAAGTATTAAGAATGTTTCATATTTTGGTTATGGTATGGTTATACAAATAACATAACTCTTTAAATGTGAAATAAAACATTAGCAAATTTTATTATATATAAATCACACTGTAATAAAACTGTTTTAAAAAATAAGAAAACATAAGATACTCCTTGTAGCTATTTTAAGGTGCTAACAGAATCATTCTAACAGTTTGATTTCTTTTTGAGAAACTAACCGGTCTGATTGGTTATTTTTATAATCAGAAATAACTACATTGATTTGTATTTACACTAATAAATACCATTTAAAAAGTTGTTCTGGAAAATTGCTGGAAAAATTGAATGTGTTTAGTTCATACTTGAGGCCCAATCCCTGACTATAAGAACAGGAAAGGACGGGGAACACTGGAAAATAAGGGCCAAATGAATCTGCAATATTTTATGAGTAACGTTGTGTGGGAAAAGATGCCTTTGCAACCCAGCTCTTGAATATTGTTAATTTTTGAATAGTTAAAAGTCACATAGAACAACGTGATGCTGGGAGAATTGGAATAACTACATTGAGACATCAGGACATCTAGTTATGTCTCAGTGCAGGGAATACAATTGATTAATGTCTTTTGTATATGTTTCTTTTCTGTCTAAAAATACTGCAATGAATACAAATCAAAATTAGATTTCTTTTAAAAAAGTACTCTATCAGTGCGTGTGCCACTAATTAGAAGATAGGAGTCTTGTCAGTCAAAAATAATGTCTTATTAAATTCTGTTCTGCAAATGGGAATGCGATATAGAAATGGAGAGAGGTGTGGGAGAGGAGGAGGAGGGGGAAATAAAAACTGATGTGTTACGTATACACACCAACTCCCCACGATGAATGTAATCACTATGTACCATACACATGTACTAATACAAGTTAATTAAAGGTTTCTCAAGAGTGCCATTCTGGGGCCATCTGACTGTCTCACCTGATTGTAGTGCAGCATGTTCTCAGCTTCACTTCCCCAGTCATACGCTCTGAATTCATCAGATCGGTAAAGCTGAAATAAACGTTTTAGAAAAAGAATACTCAGGATAAGAATCCTAAGGGATAACAATAAATCTTAGAGAAACACTATACTGAGCGTAAAATTAGGACCCTCGATCACCAGAAGCATGCAAGTACCTTGTTGCTATAATAACAAAAAAAAAAAAAAAAAATGATTACCCAAAGAGATACAATTGATTTGGATGAAAACCAAGAGTCATTAGAGGGACGTCAAAGCCCAGATATCTTTCTCTGGGGAAGAGTCAGATTTAATGGAGCTTCCCCAATTTACTTCTTGCTTTGGCTCAGGATCTATTTTATAGGCTCTGATTTAAAATGGGGCCCATATCTTCTTTTTCTGTACGATATAACACTTTTTACTAAAAGATAGGAAAATCAAGATATGCAGATGGCAACAAGCACAAACTGGAAATAAGCAGTTCAGCTTCACAGGCATGTCTGTTAGTCAATACTGTCCTTTCACGTAGAAGGCTTGAAGCAATTTCCCATAACAAAACTCTACCTGTTTTATATGCAGGATATTCTGTACTGACGACCCAGTGGGTGCATGTGACATATACACATCCATTCGACTCTAAGAGAGACATTAAACTCATGTTACAGTGACAGTCACCCAATGAAAAAACCATGCCTTTCAGAAGCAGAGAACAATTATGTTAAGAATTAATGATTACTGGTGCTTTGAAAATGATGAAGCAGAACCATCTAGGTGAGCATGTGTCTCTGTCAGACACTTGGAAGTGAAGGTACCACTGACTGACTAATGACATGGGCTGCTTGGGAGCAAACCTGCACCAGCTCGGAATCTGCAGAGCAATTAATTATCTTATTTTGTAGTAGAAGAAGCAGTGGCAGACATCTTGGAGTAAAGTAACTAAGAAAGGTGCTTTGTTCAAGTGCAGGTTAGTGGTGGTGGTAGTCATGCTGGTGCAAACACATATTAATAGATCAGAAAACCTGAATCTCAGGCCCTCAAATTGTGAATTACTAGCTCTATGACTTAGGTTAAATTACTCAATATCTTGCAATGTCTATTTTTTTCATCTGCTAGGTGAATATAAAAATCCACTAACAACTTGCTGGCCTCTTGAGAGATAAATAAAATATTGCATAAGTAAAGATGAAAATCAATTCCTTCCAAAAATTACTTTGATCTTTGTAAACATTATACAGATAAAAATTAGAAATCAAATAGTAATCATAATTACCTGTCTTAATAGAATGAATAGAATGAACCTGAGAGAAACTATTTCTTTTGAACAAACAGGTTTTGAGAAATAGATCCTCATGGGTTTCAATCTAATATAATTTAGCTTCTTGAAGCATTAGGGCTGACAGATAACAGCTGTCTTGGGACTGCACTCCCTGATACAGTCTCATTGGCTCCTGTTAGAACATAGCAACAGAAACTGTTCAATAACTATAGTTTGCAGATGTAAATTCTACCTCCTCTCCACTCAAGAGGAGGATTTTTCTTCCCCTTCCTTCTTCCTGAATTCTCAAAAACAGGAAACAAAGAGTTCATGAAGTAGGAATTGCTAACTCATCATAGGAGAAGGGTCTACCATTTTTCCTTTCTGTTCAAACTTCTCAGGTTAAATGTTGTATTTTATTCGAAGCTAAACCACTCATAAAAGAAAGCACATGAAAAGTAAGTAAAGTGCTTACAGAGGATGTGCTTCTCTCTATGATTCTGCTTTTTAACTTAATATACTGTGAACATGTGAAAGCCTACTGCCTATTATGGGGCATCCCATGTTCCTAACTTTGAGTAAGGAGAAAAGAGTTCAATTGCTTTTTCTGGTCCTAGCTGCCGTGCTCATGGAATACCTAATTTCATATAGCATATGTGGGAATATACTATGCTATCTAATGTGCATAGAAAATATCTGCCATTAAAAGTTTGGAATACCACATAAATTTATATAGCACAATGTGTAGATCAAAATGAACTAAATGAAAGCTATAATGTCTTTGCGTATTAAATGGCTCCATAATTACTTACATACCATATTCATATTTTTCTTGTTGAATCCAGCCCATAAAGACATAAATTCACTACATATCAGCCAAAGTAATTTGTGGTTACAGACTTTGGTAACAAATGTCTTTGTATTTTTATCTTCTAAAAGAAAGCCTTTGGTACCAAACATGTCCTGTAAAAGTAAAAAATAATTTCTCTTTTTAGATCCATCCTTCAACTTCTTGATAAGCCCTTGATTCTAGGAATGAATCATACTTAGAGCTCTATTTTCATTTGCGTTTACAGTTTCAGTCAAACAGATCAAGTCACTCCAATAAGTGTCTTAGGAATCCATTTCCAAGAAAGGAAATTTATCAAATATTATTTACAAGGAGACTGTAGTAAGGGGCCATGTCAATCTCAAATTCAATTTTCCATGGTGAAGAACTATTAGATTTTGTCCAATAAATGATTGCCACTACTTCTCACTTACTGATAAGTAAGATGAAAGATGAAATAGTTTTTCTCTGTTAAGTTATATGTTATCTAGGCTACTAAGGAAAATCAGGTCTTTCCATATTGCTATGTACACACTGGCTTTCTAGTACTACCAAGATTAGTAAAGTCTTACTATAAAAAGTAGAGAATGGGATACCAGAGACAGGATGCCTTTGGACATCAAAGATACGATGATATCATGATGATAGGATGGTTTAAACTTCCAGGTCTTGAGAAAATAAGCATGAGTAGATTTTCTCTTAGAGTTTTTGCAGAGCAACCGATGACAATGGTAAGCTAGGTAATAGAATTTAAAGTGGCAGGAATTTTGATGGTAGATAATGTAGATTGAAATAAGCAAGAGTACTACCTGGTACTTATCTGATCTATGTTAGAAAAGCAACACGTGCAAAACTGGTACATTAACAGACGTAGTTCCCTATTGATTAAATTTAACAAATTTGTTCACTCAGCCCTACCCAGATGTAGATAACATTCAAAACTAATTGATGTCAATAGATTTTATAATAGAATTGTCAACCACACTAAAGGGAAGTTATGTCACTCAACTTTATTGCACAGCAAACAGTGCAATAAAATCACTATCAAACCAGTCATTAGGCCTTATAAAGATTCTTACTTGCATTAGCTCCTCAATTTTTTTTCTATTGATACTACTCCAACCCAAACTAAGGCCTTATATTCTTACATATGAATCACTGTGACATTCTAACTGGTAGCCTTGACTTCATTTTAGCCCCAATCCATTTTTTCTGTTGCCCCAAATTCAAATAGCAACCTTGGCAAAACACTATGCTCTTTGTGATCATGACCATCATAGAGAAACAAAGACAAACTGAGAAAAAATATATTAGAAGTAAAATTTCAAATTCATAATTGTCAATTGACTTTTTCTATCTTCGAAGAACACCAATAAATATTTTAATGACTACCTGGGCTACCAGGCATTTGAGACTTTGCAGTATACCTCTAATAAGTTAAAGCAAGCTCCCAAATGAGAGAGTTTTTTAGTTAGACTTACATATCATTAAAACCAGGGACATCTCTGTCACACACATTTGAAGAGTGTCTTACAACTGGACATTGTGAATTCACTGACCTGCCCCACTAAATGGAAATGAAAACTCATGAGGATAGCCTATACGGACACAGAAGTCAGTTCAGTCTTGAAATTTTAACATGTGCTCAGATCTGTAAGAGACTGAATATAGTGAATTTTATATGAGACCTATAGGTGCTATGGAACAGACATGCACAGGTACACACTTGCAAGTATGTGCTTAGATAGTCTTAATTTTTTAGAGTTAATATAAATTACCTTTTTCATGTCATATAAGATTTAAAAATAATAACGAAAGGGACCCTAATGTACATTCTGTACAAGGAGGAGCCTACCTTGATTGTAGCCTGTGGAAGCAGAAAAAAGCTGCTGAAAATGCTCATGGGATGTTTGAATGAGACCACAGGGCCCAAGGCAAAATTCATTTTGATTCTTTGTGCCAGTTCAGGAATGGTGGAAAAGGCTACAAACCCTGAAAGAATAAGAGGTAAGGCAATCTTGTAAAAAGTAGAATAGGCATTCTTTCTTCCAGCAAATGTGGTGGTCTATTTAGTCATTTTTTTTCTTCTATTGCAAAGATTTTTCGGGATGCTGGCAAGTTTTTGGAGTTATTATGCAAAGAGAATCTGCTTCCAGTTGTTTTTACTCTAAAGTCCCCAGCTTTCTTCTATTCTACTGATGAACAATGAAGTTTTTAAATTTCTATATAAACAATTATATGTAATTGTTAGCCCATAAATATGAAATTTTATGAATAGATAAACCCAGTTGATTTATCATAGTTTTTGTTTTTAGCCTATAAACAAATGTGTCCATTGTTTTGAATTAAGTGTAAGCTCCTCTCTTTTATTTGTTAAATTCAATTTAGGGTGTAGGTTGGGAGGAAATTATGATTGATGCATATTTGCTTTTTGGAAGGGATATTTTATAGAATTAAGCTTTCCTTTTTCAGCTCAGAGAGAATTAAGGAACTTCATTTTTAACGTTCTTTCATTGGGTTTGGGGTACATGTTATATCTACTACATCACCATTCCAAACATGCTGCTGAGACCTGCAAAGCAGACAGGGTTCACCCACATGCCGTCTCTGGTCTATAAGAGCATGGCCGTTAGAGACTAAGGTTTGTTTCCAGAACAGGATAGGAGGTACCATACACAGCCCTTATTCCATTTCATCTTAAAAATAAATGCTTGTAAGACCCCTATGACACTGACTTTTGTAAACATACCTATTGTAGTGCCAAGTGAATGTCCAATGAAATACAGTTTCTCCTGACCAGTTTTATTTACAATGAAATCTACTACTCCTGTGAGATCATATTTGGCCATTTCATCAAAACTGAAAAATAAAAGAGGGGCTTATAAATACAAGTCAAACACATACACTTGATCACTTCTTTTTACACACAGAATACTGTGCTGTTTACTTATTCTGTGTGTATCTCACTGTTTACCCAATTAAATGTAAATTATTGTTGCTTTTTCCCCCCTTGCATTTACAATTTATGTCCTAAATACAGGAACTATTTCAAGGAATGAGTGCGCCATCTGAGGTAAGTCTTTTTCCTCCTATTTCCATCTCTTGCTTTTCTTTCTCTTCCTTTTCCCTATCTAATTGGTAAGCTTCTCTTTCTGAATCTCTCATGAAATTCACAATTCTTGGGGTTATTTTATACCCATGTTTAGAAACAGGACCATTGTCAATTATGATTCTATTATTTACTAGCTGAGTAACTATAAAGTACTCAAATGCTCTAAGCTTATGTCTCCTCATCTGAAAAACAGAGCTGTGCCTGGTTTATAGGCAGTTGTATGGGTTGGGTAATATGAATGAAATAGCTTGATTGCTAGTAGACATTTAGTCAAATGTTGCTATTAGTGCTTCTGTCCACATAGGTATAAATTCACTATTTTAGTGAAAGCATACTTAAAGAAGTCCTAAATCAGTGTGACAAAGAAAAAGAGAATTATTGTGAAGTCTTAAGGTAAGCAAGTTCCAAGCTCCCAGACAACAGTCAATGATACAAAATATTCCCTTACTCTTGTCTCTGCCCCTGGCTCTTCTGCTAAAACTCTGTCCCATCCCTTTTCTTTTCTTAACCTGTCAGTGTGTGCTGCATATGTCACTAATTCAATAGAAATACATACTGTATTCTATCAGTGGCTTGAGGACCAGTGGAGACTTGCCCTTTAGTCCTTTAGCAGAAAACACTTCCATTAAAAGAAAAATCAACATATCAAAAATTCTTATCCTCAGCTCCTTAATATGTTTTTAAAAAGCTCATATTGGTGTTTCCCTGAACATTATATGCTGTACAATCTGAACATCAATTTATTTAAATAAATAACAGGGTCCATCATATTCATAAAATTGATTAATTCTCCAGGAGAAAACACTGGTAAAAATAGCACTAAAATGAGCAGAAACTGAGAGATCAAGGATTTTGTATGTTCACCATTCGAATCTTCCATGCATACGACAATGTAAACTTTGGATCAATGAATGAGGGCCTTGGTCATAGGAATCTCCTGAGCTGTCCCTTGGATGTACTTATAATGTACAGAACTGGTCAGAATTGAATATTAAAATGATCTTACTAGAGTATAATAATATGTCTGTGACAGAATCAGTGAAAATTAGTCTCTTGTGGTTTTTTTCCTTGAAGATGTTAGCAGAAATTACAAGGAGCTTTGTGACTCCATGTACTATAGACAATTATTGTATTAATATTATTTATACTGTAATATTTTAAAGAAATTATCTCCACTTTTGTTTTTCTGAGATACCTGAAGGCCCAGAATTTGTCTTCATTCACTGAGAGTGTTCTGTGTCTTCTTGACCAAGTATTTCCCCGACTGTTTCCCATCCACACATCATAGCCTGCATCTGCTAGGAGGAACCCAAGGCTTCCATTGGAAAAATTCTCAAGCCAGTATGCATTGTCTGCAAACAGGGCATGCTGCAGATATACAACTGGCCGGGGGCCTGGGGAAGAGTTTAGGGAGAAAAGCGAGAGAAATATACAATAATTAGAGTATGTCAGACACATGATCAACACATACCACACATGTGGTAAACAAGACAGTTTTCCCCTTGTCATTAGTGTAGAGCTTTATAATCACATAACTTCAGTATCTTGACCAAATACCATGTACCTGGGAATATACTGACTGATTTCAATGAATTAGATTAGTAAATTCTTACAACAGCCTTCAAAGTAGCTGCCACAAATAGAAAATAAGATACATAGATGTTGAACATCAGTCAATATGATATCACTTTACGTATCTATTAAAATGAATAAAACACAAAAATAATGGCATTTCCAAATGTTGGTGAGAATTATCCTGGGCAGAAACCTGGATAATTGATACATCACTAGAGGGAATGGCAAGTCTAGCGACCACTGCAAATAATAGTTTGGCTCTCTGATATGACACCAAACATTCAGTTCCCATGCAGCTGAACAACTGTACACCGGGATGTGTTCCAGAGTAACAAAGGCCTATACTCACACAACAGACCTGCATACTAGTTTTCATGACAGCCTCATTTGAGCTAGACTAAAACTGGAAACAGCCCCAAAGACTTTCTTGGGCAAATGATTAAGCAACCATGACATAAAAAAGCCAATCCTCAGAGATTGCATACTGTACAAAGTTTGTATACATTTCTTGAAATGACAGAACTACAGAGACAAAGAATAGATTAACGGGGTGGGGAAGTGAGACAGGAAGCTGAGTGTGGTTATAAAGGGAAATGTGAAGAATTCTTGTGATGATGGAATTGTTCTGTCTTGATGCTTATAGTGGATACATGAAACTTCTCATGATTAAACAATATAGGACTAAATACTTGTACTTAGACAAGTACAAGTAAAACTAGGGAAATTTAACAAGATCAGTGTATTATATTTGTGCCCCTATTCCATTTTAATATTATAGTACTATGTTATTGGGGGAAATTGAGTATAAGGAATATAAAATCTCTCCATATTATTTTTATAATTATATATGAGATTATAATTATCTTGAAATAAAATTTAAAAATAAAAGTAGCTACTATTTTCAAGGTCATTTTGCAGATGTGGAAAGCAAGCCTTAGAAAACTTAACTTTCCTCAAAGGTGCCCTCGGTTAATAAGACACAGATCAGAGACTCCAACAAGTTCTGTCTCATGCCAAAACATGCTTACAGATGATTTGCTTTATGTATTCATTGAAAAGTGGTCACTGACTTCACAACTTAAGATTTTTCAATCTTACCATAGTACCAAATGTGGATTCCCTGTAAATCATCTGTCAAATTGAGAATCTGTTATCTTTTCCCAGGTTATTGGTGTGCCCTACAGTAGTAGCTTGAGATGCTGGGTGGCAGCAGCAGTGAGCCTCAACTCCCAGACAGTCAGGTGATCATAAGGGGGAGCAACCTATTGTCCACAGTACACTGTGTTGTTAAGCTATGATGGTCAGTAGGTTAGGTGTATTCAATGCATTTCTCTTACGATATTTTCAATTCGTGTTGGGTTTCTCAAATCATAATTCCAACCCAAGTCAAGTAGAATCTGTATACACATGTGACCTACAATGATCCAATATTTATCAGGCTTACTGAAGGCCTATACCTCTTCCAAAAACAGGAAAGGGAGTAGAAATGGACATGGATAAGCATCTCACCAAGAATCTATCCAAAACCTCAACCTCTGCTCACTGCAGATCATTTGAAAATGACAACAGTAAATCAACTCAACATACTTCTGCCAACTCCCACATTCATGAAGGAAAGAATATTTGATGAGATAAAAAGAACCAGAGTTAAAGGTTCAGAAAAGACATCATAATTTAATGGGTAAGAACTAGGATGCCCGAGTTAAAATTCTGGTTCTGTCACTTATTATTTGTGTGACTCTGAGATTAGTTACATAATCCCCTGTGCCTCAGTTTTATCGGATGTAAACTGATGACTGTTAGGGTTGCTGGGAGCTTTAACTGGTTTGCAGTACTTAGAACGACAGACGGTTTTAATTGCAGTGATTTCCAAAATTATCTCTTCCTAATCAACACTTACCCTGTGCACTTTTCTCTCTTTATATTTCATTCTCCTTTTCCTCCATCTGATATTCTTTCTTTCTTTCTTTTTGGTACAGGGGATGGAACTGATGAGCTCACACTTGCCAGGCAGGAGCTTATGCCACTAAGCTAAATCCTCAGCCCCCTCCATCTGATATTGCCAAATATAGCAAGATACAAAAACAAACAAATAAGTAAAATATTAAAAAATTAATTTTTTAAAATTAAAAAATTAACAGAGGATGCTCTATTAAACTTGAAATTAAGATAAAAATGAATATATTTTGTATAAGAATATCCTAAAATAAAACTTCTATTAAAATGTTTCTGACAGGAAAAATACAAGTGTTATAAGAAATTGGCTTATTTGGCCTGCAGATCTAACTAGGAATCCCATACTTTTCTGGTAGAGCTATACACATCTCACTCTTCTGAAATCCTTGAATTACAAATCCCTTTGAGGGAGAGAATAGCTGCCACTGAATGTGGATGGTGGAAGAAAAGATGCAGAACCAACATGGTAAAAGACAACAAGCGATTTGCCTACAAACCTCTGCAGAAATTTTGCTTACTTTGATCTTTCCCTCCTCAGAGAATGTGCAGTTTCAGAAGTGTCACTGTCACTTAACTTGATCTTGTATTCTGCAGAGGGAGGAAATTTTGGGGGTACTCCACTAGAATTAATTTCACTCAGCCCAATCAATCTCTTCCCAAACAGTGAAGAAATTCATATTCTGGGAACCAGTAATAAATTAACAAGATGTGGGTTCCACCTTAGCATTTACACCCTAACAAACAAGCCTACCTGCTCAGCAAGCTCAGGCTTGCCCTCTGTTTTTATATTCTGGTTTGTCATCAGTGAGCTAGAGGGAGGAGAGCAGCTTCCGTGGTAGCCATTGAAACAGCAGTCCGGTAACTCAACCACTTTTGACAAAGCAGTCAGTACTAGATGACGTTAAACTTCAGTCACATGCTGTCCTCCTTCTCAGGAGACACAAATCTGTACCTGTGGACCTAGTGTGTCCTTTCCCATGGGGAATTCTGTTGATGGCAAGGATGTACCCATCTTCAGTGGTGACTTCGTACTCCTCACTGGGATAGCCATTGTATGTGATGATCTCACTCTGACAGGAAAAACACAAGTGTTATAAACACCTGGAATGAGCCTATGGGGGTGAATTATATGATATCTGTGACACTAAGTGACCATAAAATTATTTTACTATGTAAAGTCTTGACTTAACATAATAGAATGTTAAAAATATCTACTATTGTCTTTTTTTTTTTTTTTTTTTTTGAGACAAGGTTTTGCTCTGAAGTTCAGGCTGGCCTCAAACTCACAGTGATCCTCCTGTCTCAGCCTCATGAGTGCTGGGATTAGAGGCATGTGCCATCATGCCCAGCTAGCAAGTCATATTTTTAAATCACTTGCCTTTTGTGGTCCCCATTGGATTAATATTCTTAAAGTACAGACTAAAAGAGGAATTGGTGTATATAAAAACAGCATCATCCTGCTTTTTAGCACTGACTATATTAGTAATTCAGGAAAGAAAACAGGCCTACTTAGCTTAACTCTTGTAAAGATGCTAAAAAATTGTTAACTGTCTTATCAGATATTTTCTATTATATCAAGATCTTTTATAAACATATCACCCATTAAGACTGATTTATTTGGTGTTCTCTGGAATTTTTCTTGACTTACAGCATTCATCCATACTTCAGGATTTATTTTATTTTCCAAATCCAAGAGTCTACTCGCACTTAAAGTTCCACAAATCAAATGAACTGTTGTTAAAAACAGCCACATCATAGGTGTACCTGACAAAAAATGTAATATTCACAGATTAATTTTATCCACCAGTGCTAAATAGTGAAATGAAGATGTTGTTATAAAAAGTTGAATGACACTCTGAGAAACCTGATAATGTATAAAAGAGAAGCAATACAATAAACTCACACAGAGCATTCTGCTCTTACATGAAGAAGTCCTGATACAGCCCAGCTGTTCTAATGGAATAAATTTAAAATAGTATGGGGGCTTTTAAAATTTTTATTTTGCTTACAGTTTTTCCACTTACTTTAAGTCTTTGTTCATTGGTGAAGTGCTTGAGTATTTAAAGATTCAGAGGACAAGTTTCCATACCACGGCAAATGAAGTTTAGTCTAGCCCAGGATCTCACAGAAAAGCAAAAACAATGAACAGATGAAGCTTCAGCCAAGTAAATAAGCTTACAATCACTTTCTAATGACGTGACTGTATTTCTCATGTGAACTCCCAAAGGCACATCCATTTCTCATGTGAACTCCCAAAGGCACATCCTGCACATTTCAAGGTGCAGTGTCACTTCCTTGCCTTGGCTGAAGAGCTTGTCTCTTTAAAGGCAGGCCTTCGGCGTAAAAACTTGGTGTTCTCAGTGGAGAGCTGCTGCAGTCAGAAGGCATCACAACAAACAAGACTGCTGACTGGTAAGTTTTTTAGCAGTTTTAGCTCCAAAACAAATACTTTGATATCTAGTTAAAATTGATTTTCTACCTGTAAATGTTATATAATTTAAGATTTTTGAAAGTAGTGATAACATCTATGAAGTGGTTCCTTTCTGCTACGCATAGTCCTCAAGGCTCCATATATATTATTTAAACCTAGAAAAATTCCATGAAGTTGGCAATAATATACCCTCTCATTTCATCAAGATGAGACAAAGGCTTAGAGAAGTTTTAGACCTGCTCCAGGTCAAAGAATTTGCAGACAACAGGCTTGGGATGGATACGCAGACAGGCCTTGTATTAATGGATACGCCCATGGTGCCTCCCAGGTATGATAAATCTCCATCTTACCTAGTTCTAGGTGAGCTTCACCTGCTCCTGAGGACTCCTGATTGATTAGGAACTTCTGAATTTTTGTTATTGACAACAGGCTGGAGGGTGAGATATAGTTGCAATGACAGTTAGAAACTAGAGAGATGAGAAACAGGAAGCTAGTAGAAATAGGATACCTTGGACTGTGACACACCCAAGGCGTCTCCCTGACACATCAAATGCTGTGATGTATTTACAGGTTGGGAAACAGTGATCTACATGCAACCACTGCCAAGCACCAGGTAACTCACCTGGCTGAGTCATTCACGCCTGCACTGAGTGTTTGTCAGTCTGAGTGGTTGTTAGTCTGAGTGGGAGTATTTAGCAATATATTCAAAACAGTGCATCAAATGGTGATAGAATGTACCCTGCACCCAAATGGACAAAATCAGAGATAATAGCATCACCCTTCCCAGCTCCAGAACACAGCAATAAAGATCAAATGAAGCAATAAATGCAAAAGTGGTTTTGTCAATCTAGTGTTCAGAGATGAATATGGCTAACGTAGTTGAGAAGTGGGGACGATCAGACTCCTAACTTGAGATCAGGAATTTGTGATCAGTAGAGTGGCTACGGTAACTGACTCATGTATCAAGGTGATTTGTCTACTGTCAATTCTGACAGCTTCTCCTGTGGTTGAATCAGTGCTTTAAACAAAGTAGAAATGGAAGACTAAAAAGATAAGACAACCTAACTCTAAATCCTGCATAAAATATCATATCGTGAAAGGATGTGTGCCCCCATTTTTTACTGCACTTGAATGCCTGTGAAGCCTAAGAATTTCTCATGCTCTTTCTTCTCTCTGCACGCATGAAGGCAATATTAAGTCACTATCCAGCATGATTTAGGAGTTTTAGTTCTCTTTGTTTGGACTTAGCCTCAAATCTTTTCAGAAACTCAGAAAAACAGGTATTCTCCATATTTGCTCAGATTCTAAAATCTATTCCAGTTAAGTGGGAAATTTCATGCCAATTAAATGAAGGAGGAGGAAAAGGAAGTGCTCCTCTTGCCGGAAGAAGAAAAGTTATGGACCAGGAAAAGCTCCATTTTCATTCAGCCTGAAGAGAGCCACGTTTTGCTCTGATTGTTAGTATAATGGCAGAGGTAGACTGACCTGGAACCACCCGTAGCCCTGGTTTTAAAGTTTAATGGACTCTTTAGAGAGTTCTATGAAGCAAAATATTATTATTCCTGTTTTAATGATGATTGGTTGCCATGACTTAGTATGGAAATAACACCAATATAATTAACTTCTCAGCCTTTACATTTTCCAGACTAGTTTAAACCTCAAAATAATTCCTACACTGTTTATTTTTCATATTCCTCCCTCAACTTTGAGGGTTATCTTAATAATCTGAGCAATTCTTCTGCTTGTGCAGAAACAAAGACATACCCAATAAATGAAGCTAATCTTTATGGTCATGTTTTGCCACTTTTTATATCAGTTTCCTATTTTAATAAGTATTCAACATATTATCTAATATTGCATATTATTATACACAGCAGTATTATATATTACATATAACTTAAATGTAATACCTATTATATAACATTAATATAATTATTATACTGTTTAATATTCACATTGACTAAAGTGAAATAAATTAAAACTACTACTTTGACCCTATGAAATACAAAATAATTACTTCAGCTATCGAGAATCTCAATTATTTCATTTTTCCCCTAATTAAACTAGATCAAATTAGAGCTAGAAGGAGCTCTTGGATAACGTGCATTAAGGAGAAATATTTTGAAAGAATGGTGGTATTTTTTACATCTTAATCCAAGAATCTTATAGCAGCCTGAATGAAATATGCAATGACCACTGCCCATTCAACTATCAAGCTGTCTGAGAACATAGTTTAATACTGACCTCTGTCTGTGAGAATGTTTATCAGTTTTCTTCCAGTGTTCCAATTCAAAGCACATTTCCTGTAACAACACTCTATCTTTTCTTATTTGTTTCTTTTTTCCCAAAGCGTACTTTTTCATAACACATGACTATATGTCAAAAGAGGCATAATTTTCGAGTTAAAAAGTTTATTTCATAAACAATGAAATGGAAACTAAGGAGAATTTTAAAAAGAAGAAGAATGTTTATTTCATAAACAATGAAGTAGAAACTAAGGAGAATTTAAAAAAGAAGAAGAGAGAAATAATTAGAAAGCTTACACCTTTGAGGCAAATTTTGCTCACAAGCTGTGGTGGCAAACCTAGGGCATATGTGCTACAGAGGTTATTAGCACTGATAGCTCTGAAAGGTTCACCATCACTGCCCTAGAGTAAAATTTTGCATAAACAGAAACTTGAAATATTTCTTTTTCTCACTAGATAATTTAGTCTATTTTGCATCCTAAATGCAATAAGGGCTCAATAGGATCATAAGTATATAAGTTTGTATGACTGATGTGTGCGTAAGATGATTAATTAGCATCCTTTGGTTTGTTGAAAAATACATTAAATTACATGCTAAAATTTTATTTCTTTACCTATAAAGCAAAGTTGGGAATGTCTATGATTTCTATTAAAAATACTTTTGATTTGAGATTATCTATTAGAGGGGAACCTTTTACTGTTGTTGATGATAATGAATATTTATTACATCACCAAACTACAACTATCTTTAAAAACAGTATGAAAAGTCAGAAGAAAGAGTTGATAAAAAGTTAAATAGCTCATAATTAGCTAAAATACAAAAAGATATTTGAAAAGGACATAACAAGCTATTTGAACACACATCCATCTCAGTCCAAAATGATCAAAGGAAAAAATCACTTACATTTAGAGAGAAGTTATTATCAAAAGTGCTGATGGCTGTCTTTGATGACATCTGTGTCCAAGAGTGGCAGGAAGAGTACTTTGTGTATGGCAAAGGTCAAACATGTGAGAACAAGGGGGAAGGACCATTCCACTGAACGGAGGAAAATTATACCATCTACTCCTCCAAGCAGCTTTACCAGCATCGCTGGCTCATACCATTCACCACTTAGACATGGTGTTCTCTACAGCTCATTTTCTATTTCAATCCCTGTAGGAGGTATATTCAAATACAATTCTTTAAAAAAAAACAAGACACTTAACCAGGCATTCGGATTGGATCTAGTTTTAGCCTGATCCAAATTTTGTGGGTAAATAAAATTGTGACTGGAATGTGCGAAAAGGTAACATTGGGTATTGTTACCTTTGATTGATACATGCTCCCATGTCTTTCCCAAGTTTTCTATTTTGTGAAATTACTGTTAAATTTCCTTCAAACCTTGCCAGCATCCTTAAAAAGAAGTAATTTTTAATTTTAGATTATCTTGATTTGAGCCTTTCAAGCATCATCACCAACAAAGCTTTTGGCTGAGTTAGTAAGTGAAAAAATGATTGAATGAATGAATCTAGAAGTCCAGAGTATATAGCTTACTGACAGAGGAATAGTAATAATGCTATTATTAACCAAGAAGGATTATTAACTGCCTATTGAATACCTATTAATTACTTATTGAGTTAAGCACTTTGATATGCTACCAGGTTGGCTATAAATTCTGAATCACCATTTTTTATGTGTTTCAAAAGAAATTTCTTATCAGTATTTTATAAGTCTCACAGAAGAGAGAAAACCTATAGGAAAAGAATCAGTCTTGCTCTAAGTTTAAACTAAATTAAAGCAGGCACATTATTATTCATTGATTGTATTACATAATAATGCAATGAAAATTTGAAATTTAATAGCAGGATTTTTTTTCCTAGTTAACATACAAACTATTCTTAAATCTGGTTACTACTATGGTACAATCTAATAGCTTTCACATACTCTGTATTCTGTATTCTCTTTCTAATCCACACATTAGAAAATCTTATAAATGTAGAATTATTCAAGATTTTCAGCAACCAAATATTTAGGACTTTAGTCTTTTCTCTAATGTGAAATACACACACGCGCACACACACACACACACATATATACAGAGAGAGAGAGAGAGAGAGTTTAAATTTCCTAATAATCACACTTAAAAAAAGTCTAACAAAATAAGTGAAATAAATTTTAATAGCATGGTTTCTTTAAATCAATATATCAAATATTACTTTACTGTATAATCAATATCATTAACCAGACACTTTCCATTCTGTTCTAACTCACAGTGTCTGAAATCTGGTGTGTGTATGTGCTATGCCACATACGAAGTGCTTGTTATCTATATCTGACTCAGGATGTATATTAGGTGATGCAGCTCTGTTTAATCAGTCTTGTGCTCCTCCTCCTCAATTTTCCTTTAACAGATTCTTATTTTTCATATAGTACTCACCCCAAATAAATAACTTTGCATTATATATTTAACATAATTTGAATATACGCCTGTAACTTCCAACAGTCTGAATCATTAAATATGCTTTTTCAAGCGCATGGTTTCTTGTTCCCCAACTGAGATTTATGTCTTAATGGCTGTCAAAAAAAAGTTTGTTTGTACAATACTGAACTATAATTCTTGATCAAAAACATAATGGCCATTAGCCTTAATGAAATCAGTGAATCTAGAAAGATAGGCTATTGTATGGGCTTTATTCAAAACCAAATGCTGTATTACTATTAACTTTTAAAAAATGAGAACATTTCCTCATAAGTATCACTAAAATGATTATGACAACATTTATACATTTGACAGATTCTTGATCTAACTCTGTTAAGCCTGCTGATTGAATAAATAATAATGGGCATCTGTGCATACATACATAGCAGTTTTCTTGAGCGGCTTGCTTTTGAGACCATAGGAATCAACAAGATTTCACTGATCATCCCTATGTGGTAATCATGTCCCTCTCATAGAACACAAAAACATGTAGTTCTGTTTAGTTTTGTTTTCCAATACCCTCAGCTGCCTTCATTTTTACCTAGAATACCTTCATCTTCTAACTGCTGTAATTCATTCTTGGTCTTGCAGTTGTCATCACTTAATTCTTTTTTTTTTTAAGATAGATTCTCACTATGTCATCATTTTCAGTTACACACTGATCATGGTTTAAATCCTTCAGTGACTTTCAAATCCTATGACTAGGCAAGCCTAAAAGCCAGGTTTGGCCACCTCTGAGTTTTTCC